GCCTGATATAATAGCTGATATCTGCTCCTTTTTGTGGCAGTATGGTATTTACAGAACAAGTCTTATTAGATGGGGACAAATAGTTCATATTGTAAGAGGAAGAGGTGACAAAGTACAGAAAGCAGGTAGGACAAAAGGCAGAGCTTGTGGGTTTATGTCTGCTTGATCTGGGGAAGCAATTATATCCCTGTACAGTTTTCTGGCACAACTAGAGTATTGTATTGTACTTTAAACACTGCATTGTACTTTGGATGCTGAAAGCCAGGGAGAGATTGACAGCGTTAAAGGGAAACTCATCAAAGGACAACAAAGATGATGAAGAAAAGAGAGAAAAATTAAGGGGAAAGTCATTCTCTGTAATTTAATCAAGTGATAATTTCAGGAGAGGATTACGGGCTTAAACAATCCTCGAAGATGGAAACACAAACAATGCAACGGTTTAGCGTATTAAAGGACAGCAAGCAGATGGTCATAAGCGAATGCATTGACATGAAATTAATAAAAATACCACTTCAGTGTAACCTGGGAGAGACTAGGATTTGTTAGGCAGTGGAATAATTTCCACAGAAAGTGATGGAAGCCCCTCCGCTTGCAGTGTTTGAAGCCAGACCGGACACAGAGATAGTCAGTGGACAGCAAGGGAAAGGTCACTGGAGCAATTAGGGCTGAGTGATTTTCTCTAGGGCCCACCATTCCTGTTTGCAGAGCAAGAAATGTATAGATTATGTATATATCAATGGGAAGATGCCTCAACTACGTCTTCAGCCCAACCAATGGCAAGATCATACAAGAGGTTTTGGCAGTGTCTTAATAAGCAAGGAGGTGAATGTGTAGCCCAGTGAGATAGGCAAGAATCCTTCTTCCGACTTTGGGAAAACTTCTGACTGGGGAAAACCCAAAGAAAATTACCTCGAGACTCCTAAGGTAGCTTCTGTGTTATGTCTGAGCTTGTCACAGCAAGAATTGGCTATTGATACACCAGGAGCTGAGTAAAGCAAATGTGACAGCAAGGAGGCAGCTGAGGTTTTTTCCTCTGGTTTTAGAATAATAGAATCATAGAATGGTTTGGGTTGGAAAGGACCTTAAGGTCATCCAGTTCCAACTCCCCTGCCATGGACAGGGACACCTCACACTAAACCATGTCACCCAAGGCTCTGTCCAACCTGGCCTTGAACACCACCAGAGACGGAGCATTCACAACTTCCTTGGGCAACCCATTCCAGTGCCTCACCACCCTCACAGTAAAAAACTTCTTCCTTATATCCAATAATTTTGCTGAATCATTTCTTTCCTGTGAGATGCACTTTCTGGGAGGCCAAAATGATCAGTGAATTCGCATTCCATTTGGAATGAGACTAAGGCAGGGAAAAAGACCGTGTCAGTAGAGAGATGAGTGGGACACTTCCAGTTTTTATGGGCAAGCTCATCTCATAAATGGGACAGGGCGCGTGGATGCGCTGAAGTGTCCCAGGAAGAGCAGCCAGCACCATCCTTCCCCAGCAGCCACTGCATCCTCTCGGCACAGACAAAGCATCAGCCTCCAGTACAGGAGGAGTTTGAACCCCCATCGTTTCCACTCCCAAACAAAGGGCTTAGTCACCACTTATCGCACTTTGCACTGACACACAGAGAAGGAGGAAAAGGAACCGTTTTGTCACTCAGCCCTCATGTGACAAAGTATTCAGCAGCAATGAGAACATCACGTATTGCTTTCACACAGTTGGCTCTTGCCCTTGCACCATCATCATGTTGTGAACCAGGGCACAGTGCTTTGGCTTAAATATAACCTGCCAAAATATAAGCTCTGCTTTTAAAACACTACAGATGCTTTCATGTGTTTCATAACCCAGCTACCCAAAGCCCTGTGCTGCCACAGGCAGTAACGGGGAAAAAAGATATCAGAAGATAAAGGTAAGACTGTGCCAAAGATGGGAGAAGAGGTATTGCTGTCTCACTGCTCAGGAGAAGATGTTTAACCATGGGAATGGTAAGGAAAACTCAGAAGAACCCAGAAAAGGTGATGACAGTAAAGAGTATGGTCCAGCAGCTAGGTGTGGAAAAAGAAGACCCTGTTCCCTCACCCCGTGAGCCCTAATGGTGTGTGCTGGTGCTGGAGAAAGATGATGTACATCACAATTAGGTATCAGACATTTATATTCCTCCTACAGCTAGGCAAATGGACTAGCTTTCCTCCAGTTTTCACAGCCTTCTACCAAAATCCAGTGTGATCCCCTCCCCAGCCCAAGTAAAATGTTTTTTTTTTGAGAAGAGTGACAGGAAAAACTAGAATTTCCTGTGGAAAACCCCAATCGCTGCTCCTTCATGCTGTATTTATGTATATGCAGAACATATACACATGCTGACCCTTCATCTCCTAACCTGCAGTTAAGACTGAATTACAAATCACGGGGTGGCAGACCTTCAGACACAGGCCAAGCCAATGCTGCTTTAAACCAGAGCACCGAGCACCCTGCGCTTGACCTGTCAGCAGAGATATCACACTCCTCTTCCCAGAGGAAGGCAGGGCTTCATAACTCACATAGGGTGACACCCCCAGGTCCTGGCTGTCTCTGCCCTGAGCGAGTGAGCGGGTTTAGTTTTTGTCACAGGTGTTTTATTCTCTTTGGCAGGAACTGCTGGTGTAAAACGCTGCTAGCGCATCAGCAGGCTTGTCACTCCCTCCCTGCCGCATCAATCACAGAGTCCCTATGGACCCGGGCTGCCTTGCTGTGTGCCTCAGTGTAGGAACAGCACGTCCTTTCCCCTCACGTCACTCGTCCCTGCAGTGAATGAGCAGCCGGGTTGTTCTCTTACGCAGGATAGGAAGGCAGGGGACAGGAGCCACTAAGCCCCACCACAGGGAGGAGAAGCTCGAGACCTTGCAGAACAAGGGGGTCAGTGAAGCCACATCCTTCATTATGCCTGGATTTGTAATCAGGCAGTATAGTTAATCCATGCTCCCCGAATCTCAGCTGGAAGAAAATGGATTAGCTTTACTGACATCACTGAAGCTGAAGCAATTTACCCTGGCTGAAGATCTGGTTCTTATCCTGCCTGTGTTTCAGCGCATAGCACTAAAGCATGGTTTTTCAGGCTGACCAGGGGTTGAATGTGGGTCTTTGACTGGAGGGAAGCAGCAGAGCTGAATCCAGGCAGTACAGTTTTAATGTGCTGTGGGGGAAATGAAAACCCCATGTTACCTCATGTCTCCTACCCCAACAGCTTTCCCAACAGCACAGCTTCCTTGGTGAGGACAAGCACCAAAGATGCTGGCCACAGCAGAGATGATGAACGGTACTGCAGGGCACATTGCAGGGAACATGGGAGGTTGTAAATTAAGGTCTTCCTAATTAGAAAGTGGCCAGACACACACAGACACACACAGATTCCTGGTCTGGGGTGAGCTGCTCTGCTACAGGTTAAGGTAACGTCAAAAGGCAAACTGTCACACAGAAGATGGCACAGGACACAGCAGTGCATGGAGCAGTAAGGTGCGTGTATGGCACTGCCAGAAAGCCAGAAGTGAGGGCTAAGGAAGAAGCCAGAGTCATAGAAAGACAGGCAAAGGCTCCTGAAACTGCAGGGGTAGCTCTGAACTGTGAAAGAAAAGATTATCAGGAAACGAGAGAAGATACCAGAATATGAGCAAAGTGTTAGCACGCTGTGCCTGGGGCATCCACATAGCTGGGACTCGGCAAAGCACAAACGTGCAATCATCAGGTCAGGAAATCTACAGCCTGAGAGATCTCAGTGGGGTAAATCCCTGCAGCAGAGGAGAAAGGAGTGGGATTACAGGGACCACACGGTGCTAAACCAAACTAAGCACCTTGTGGGGAGTGGGGTACGCACCTTTGTGGGATTTCAAACAAAACACCAGCAGTTTCAGCTGCAAAGATGTTTCCTGGGATGTGCAGGTACCACAGGCTCTGATGCAGAAAGAAGGGTGCCCTCCACAGACGGCCCTTCTTGGGTATCCCATGGCAGGGAAATGGAGATTCTGCACCCTCTCTACATCACAGCCAGATCCAGCCCTTGTGGAGACACAGATACAAGGAAGAGTAAAGGCAAACCCCTCAGGGAAAACAGGGGGGAGATCCTGTGACATAGAACTGGCTTGGATGAAGCATTCAGCAGTGCTTGACAGAAAAAGACGGAACAGGACCTCATAATATTCTCTTAATGAGGCAATTTAACTGCCTGTAATTCTGTGTCCTGCTCTCCCAGCACAGGAGTTCAAAGGGTTGTCACATCAGGCCCTCAAAGGAGGGGTTTTATAATGAGTGATATTTCTTAGGGGCTCAGTATGGGGCAGATATGCTGAGGAGAACAGGAGAAAGAAAAACGTACACAGGAAAATCACTCATCAAGCTAGGCAGCCACTGAGCCATATCGCTGCTTGCCGTAAGGCAGCACTAAAATCAGTGTCACTCTCCCATGGTCAGTTGTGGTTTCAGAGTGGATGCAATCCAAATTCAGTTTGACATCCTTAGCAAAGGGGCTTTGGAGGGTTTCACCTGCTCATCTCCCTGTGAGCATCCATTTCCTCACCATGAGAGGAGAATGGGGCCTTTCCAGCACAGTTTAAAGCAAAGGCCTGGATTCAGTCAACTGGCAGAGCAAATGCTTTCTCTGTGTGTGTGTCTCTTCTCCTTCCTTAAGAGCATAGCTGTCCTTACACATGAAGGTCACCCATGGAACGTAAGGGACAAAGCAGGGCAGCAGAACAGGCATCTGCCACCTCAGTAACCCCCGCAAAGGCAAACATCAATTGTGCAGAGCACTGTAACTGCTTTAAATAGGTTAAAAAATAAGGCCTGCTTATTTAATTTAGCGTACATGCTAGGTGGGTCAATATCTATCCTTCTCTCCCCATCCTTCTTCCCCACCCCGCAGGTCTCTAAGGGCAGAGGTTTAAGTCCCAGCTGAGGAAACAGGGCATGCTTCATTTAGTAGGGCTGCTGGGGATGTCATGCTCCTGATGAAACATTAAATCAAGGTAAACACTAATCTCATGGGCATCACCGCTTAAGAAGCACAGGAAGGAAAAATAACAAAGCCTTCATGGCTCCTGTGCTTTGACCTCTCACTACAGTGGGATTCCTCAAAGTGAGGAAGCCCAAATGTGCGTGGAAAAGGAGGTAGCAAGGCTTCTGCCTGCTTGTGCTTTCTTTCCTTTTGCTCAAGGGATATTTATTGCAAATACTTATATTCACAATATTTATTCTGTTAAACAAAACAGGGGTTCTGTTAAACAAAGTCTTCATCAACAACAGCAAGCGGGTACCATCCCAAGACCCAAGTTAGCATCCAAGCCACAAGACCACCCTCTCTTCTTCTTTACACCCCTTGCTCCATTCCCTCTTGCCCTACAACCCCTCTTGCCTTCCACTTACCCAGCACACATATGCCTGCAATGCCCCAACCATCACAGGCCGTGTTTCCTAGCTGACAGTTTCAAACCCTGGTAGAAGGTGCGCAGCTCAGGTCAGGCTGAACCTGCACAGCCATACAACATCTTATCTAACAGGTAAGAAACAACAAGGAAGGCGGCTGCAGTATTTAAGCCTATTCTTCCCTCTTTCCCAGCCAGTCCCCAGACACCCTCCCTGCACAGGCATCATTTTCTCTTTGAAATAATCTTGCTGGAACTCCTCAGTGTAATGGTTCAACAATTATTATCTTGGGTTTTTCATGCTTTATACTGAATCTTCTTTAATAACATTGCTGCTCCGTGTGAGAGACTGAGCTGTCCCAAAGACAAACAAGGGAAGAACGTACTTATTGCCACCAATGTTCTCATAGAGGCTTCCTCACTTTGTTTAGGTATGAGCGAAGACAGCAGAGAGTAGCAGATCCTGCTGGATGAATAAACACTAAATAAATTGGGTTGCATTCCCTAGTTCCCCTCATTTTGTGTAAAAAAAAAACCCACAATAATTCAGCCCTACTTTTATTACAGGTCTCAGGCAAGAAATCACATCCATCAAATTCTGCAACTGATCGTGCCAAAATAGAGATTAAATGTTACAATATATAGTCCTAGGCTTCATTTAGTCTTAGATCCAAGGGACTCTTCCAATAGCCTTTGCTGCCACTGGTGTGGTCCTCCCCTCCCTTTGATGCCAGGAGGTGTCATAGTCAAAATACTCTACACAGAGCATGGTCATTTAAGAACCAGCACAGGAAGAACCAGGGAAGGAGGGACCTGTGATTTCACAGCAGGGTGAAGAACCCAAATCCAGATCCAGTGTGCTCCTTGGGGATGGTTGTGAGATGAAGGCAAGCTACCACCCAGGGGCCCATCTCTGTAGCAGGTACATGTGCAGTGATAGCACGCACAGGTACTGCTCTGCCCATTATATGTGACACCCCAATGATGGGCAGAGAGAGCTTTCTTCTAAGGGGGCAGGCAGAAGGGTGAAGGGAAGGAAGAGAAAAATAGACCATTTAGGTTATAATTTCTGATGGGTAAAAGAGAATTCAGAGACTTTTGATAGCATCGCTTTGTGCAAAACAAACAGCTCCCCTCATTCGGCCTCCGTCATGTGGAATTAACAGACAAAGCTAAAGCCAAAGCTACTGATTTCATTAAGCTTACACTAGGGATGAGTTTCTCTCTGCATACCAAGCAAGTCATTGTACATGTTTAAAAGTTTCCTTTGACTGAATCTCTTCAATTACGTTCCCACTCTCCTCACCTTCCTAAGCTCCTTGGACAGGCTGTATTAACTTCTGAACAGCCTTAGACTTGCTCCTGGAGACCCTCCATCTGGCTTTCATCACCTTCCAGCTTCATGAACTGCTCATCCAGAAACCCTGCACTGGCTATTTCCCAAGCTTCTTCTCCTTGAAACCTTGATGCTACCTCAGGTTCATTCAGGTCCTGAGAGCCTCTGTCTGCTGTAGCCCTCACAGCTCATGCCGTAATCCTGCCCTTGTCTTCCCTTTTAGCCTAATCTGCAGGGGATCTTCATGTGCACACATAGCCCCACTTCAGGGACTCTGAAATACTTTTCTCCATCCTGGACCTCTCCATGGTCTTCATTCTCATGTAAGCCCCCCCAACACCTCTCTACAGCTGTCTTATATTCATCAGGCTCCATGCCAACATCTCCACTACTTGCATTACTTACCCTTGCTAATAAGGCTTTTGTGCTTACATCATCTGAGCCAGACACACAGGAACCACCCTGGACCTTCTCCCTCTGTGGAATGTGGTTGATTTCTTCAGCACAATCCTTTATTCTTTGCATCTGCCACTTTCACATCTTTCCCAACCCCACCAAGATGTTACGAGCAGTGAAACTATCTCCCACCTTGATGGTGACTTTCTCATTTTTCCCATCCTTCCAGTCATCCCAGTTTGTCTGCTCCAGAACGTCCCACCATGCCCTACCAGTGCTAGAAGAACCAGGATGTCAGGCAGGAAAGAGGCTGGTATGATTTCTCTGGCAAGCTGGAAATACCACAGGGAAAGTTTATGAAACCCCTGGGAAATCTGGGCAGCTTTAAGCATCTCTCCAATGATTCCTCCTGCCTGGATGAGCAGTCAGGCATTTGACTCCAGAAAAAGCACTGACCACTTCCCTTGGGAACCATGCTCTCAGGACAGCGGGTTTGGCTGGGATGTAGGTCCAGGGGTGCCCACATGGAGAATTTACATGCCCCTTCATTCCCACCTGCCTCTGCCTGAGAAGGATGAAATGGTTTTGGCTGGATGATTTAGTGCTGTGAAACTCTTTCCTGCTTGATTTAAAACAGCAAGCTTGAAATCCAACACCCCCCCCCCATCCCTGAGCTTATCAGCTGCAGAGGGGCTCAAGTGCTTCCAAGCATTTCATGTATCGAGGGTTGTCTTTGCACTAGCCAAAGGTGAGAGAGTGGACTGAATGTGAGCATCTTCATGAAGGTCCGCATGATGCGAGCCTGTTCTCCCCGTGCCTGTGCATCCGCCAGCAAGCGTGCCCCCTCTTCCTTCTGCAGCATCCCACACTCCGCTTGGCATCTCCTCTCCTGGCATTCCCTTTCCCATTCACAGCCGTGGCCGTGCCCACGGACACACTGTTCGCGCACAGATCCCTCTTTTTCTCACGGGCACACCCACTCCCTCACATGCGCTCTCCCTTTGTCTCTGCTTTCACAGACACAGACACATCTTAAAACTATCCCCCTCATACCCCACCCCAGCTGGATCTGGCCTTGAGCTCCCGAGGGGAAAGGAGCTTGCTCCTACTAGGGAGAAATAATACTGCTCCTTTTGAAAAACATACTTTATTGTCAATGCCACTGACAGGCGGATGCTGGGATCACCTGAGGATGCGGGATGATGCGATGAGGTGGCCCAGAGCACTTGTACCCTGCAGAATAACAGATCCTTCGGTGAAGATGGGGACGTTAAGAGGGGGATAAAGCATCCCGGAAGCTTTCTGCGCTGCACTGCAGCAGGGAGCGAGCGGAGCTGGTGTTCGGAGCCCTTTCTCGGCTGCGGGGGGCGAGCCGCGCCGGCGCTGCCTCCCGAGGGCTGCGGGCAGGGTTGCCACAGCAACGCTGCCTCTGAGTCAGAACGATTAAGCATCACCATGGCAACAAGTGTCTCACTCGCCATTTCCCGAGAGCTTGACGGGGGTTCGGGCTGGAACCATCACACACCAAGGGAAAAGGGGCAGGGACACGGATGGGGGGCAATGCACCCACCTTCCAAGCGAGCCAAACTCACCTCGGGGTGCCTGCCGCAGACCCCGTGCTCCCTGCCCCATCACCACCTTCGATGGAGCCACAGCCCGAGTGTGGTACCCCACGCCAAGATGGGGCGGAGGCAGGGGTCGGGGTGGTTGCGGTGAGCCCCTCGAATAAGGAGGTTTTTGTAACCTGTAAACTCCAGACAAAGGAGGCAAAGCTCCCCGCTGTCTGCAGGCTCTTACCCCCCTCTCCGCGCAGGAGCCTTCATGCTGCTGTGAATATTGAGCGGAGACAGAAGCCCGGGGGGATTTGCGTTTCACACTTGCCATCAAATGAGCAACAGGAAGATCACACCGAGACCCCTGCACGGTGCTATTACCAGTATGTGCGCTAGGCAGACACTCACTGCAGAGCCTGCAACTGCTCCTTTCCCGGTGCAGAGGGACCGGGCGCTGTCTCCCCGGTCACGATGTCAGCGCCGTTTAAAGGCGGGTGCCCCGGGTCCTGCCCTCGGAAGGAGTGCCGAGACCGCAGCAGGCTGATGGTGTGGAGGACCAGACCTCGTCTGTGAGAGCTGTGCCATGAAGGCAGACACACGGGTACGTGCAGAGAACGGCTCTGCGTTTTGCACGGCGAGGTGGGTGTCACTGCTGCACTGGCTGGAGATTCAGGCTCATGCAGGCAACGTGTAGAGGTACACAGGAAACGCACGCAGAGCTTTTAGCACCATTGCGTTTCCCTGGGGGGAGTTAGGTGTGGGGAGCACAGGCTCTGGCCTGCAGAGGAGGAAAGGAAGCATCCACGAGATGTCCATGTTGCAGTTCTCTTCCATACCACGTCCTTAGTGATTCTCACCCTGTCCTGCTGTAAGACCATCTGAGATGCTGGCAACACAGCTCCAACAGAAAACAAATGGGAATCTTAGGTTTCTTAGCCTGTGCAAGGTGTTAAGCACCTCTCGGTACTGTGTCTTCTCATCTGCCTTTCTTTCTCCGTGCTCAGTTTCTGCCCTACCCTCCACACAAACTACCCACATGACACTTTTATACCATTGGTATATGTTGGAAACTGTGCTTGCATCAGGATGGGTCACCTACAGGGCAGAGGAGGTGTTTTACGTGACAAGGGCTGTGCAGGTGTATGGGGTCTCCTACCAGGTCGTTAAGGCTGGTAGGAATGCCTGCATGTGCCCACATTCCTCTGACCTGTGTTCAGGACAGATATCTGTACACAAAGCCTGCTGAAGAGCAACCTGCATCCTTCAATCACTACCACCTCCTGGAAAGGAGAAGCCATCCAATCCAGATGTGTCTAAGCCAGATGTGTTGGTGGGTCCTTGATGACTGGGACGTGCCAGGTCTCTCACTCTGTCCTGAGCCATGGGACAAGCATAGCCCAGGATGTGGTATGCTGCCTTCCACAGGACCAGGGGGTTTGATCCTGGCACCCCTGGTGTTACCATCCTACCTTCCTGAGTTTCAGTGCACCCTGTTGATGCTATAGCCATTGATCCCTTGACCACTGACCACCACCTAACAGGCCCAAACAAACCTGCTCCACTAAAAAGGCTCTTTTGTGTGTGTCTGTGCATGAAAACGTTAGTTTTCAGGCGGTACAAGGCAGAGCGAGGTGCTTGTTGCTTCCTGTTTGTCACTACTGAACCCACCTTTACCTTTGAGCTCTTTCAAGCCGAGTTGTAATGCGGCTCCCTGCTGGCATCTCTCTTGCCTGGAGCTATTGCAATTTGTGTGAGCTAGTCTTTTGAGGTATTTTTACACTGTAGTAACTATATTAACAGGGCAGTGACAAATCTATAGCCGTGGATCAGAGCACTGGTTGTAAAGACCAGTAGCAAACACTCACCTGCAAGCAGGAAGACTCCTTTTTCACTGGGCACTTTGAAAACGGATGAGCAGGGAGCAGTTGTGCTCACAGTTGGTACCTAAAGCAGATCAGAAGCAGATCTTTGAGGTCCTTGAAAGGCTGCAGCCTGCTTTCCCCAAAACAAGCTATAGGAAGAAGCAAGGTGGAGGTGGCCAGGGCTTCCCATCTTCCACACCATTTCTATGTGTGTTTCCTCAGTGCCAGGAGCCAAACCAAGCTGAGTGGAAAGTTGCCAACTGCTTTTGCCTGAAATAATGGGATATTTCTTCTGAACAAGAAATGCCATGGTGTTCCGACGTATTCCTGGCTCTCCTGTCTCCAGAAAGAGAAGGGCTCACTTCCAGCTTGGTATAGAGGTTTACAATCCTTCCCCATCCAGCTTTTTTGCAGTGATTCATTCAGTTCTTCATTACTAGATGGTGTGCATGCTATTGGCAGCAGAGTTGGTGCTTTCCAGGTGAGGGCAGATACCTGGTTTCAGTTCTGATTTAAAATGGCCCACACCCAAATCTGTGCCTCAAAAAGCCAAGAAAAAAGAGCCTTGTGATGAGACTTTTCTAAGTAAATGGTTAAGCAGATATTAAAAATGGATCTGAGGCTCCTAAGTCACTTAAGGAGATTGTATTTCTTCACAAACCACTTTTCCTTCAGCAGGGCAGAGGTAGGAGTTACTTTCTAGATAAGGAAGACTTCCTTTATTGAAGAGTATGGTGAGTGTACCCTGGCTGGGCAGGAAGAGCCCACCAAAGCCACACTGTCACTCCTCCTCCTCCTCAGTGCGACAAAAGGCTCATGGGTTGCAATAAGGGCAGGGAGAGCTCATTCACCAGTTACCATCATGGACAAAACAGACTGGACTTGGGGAAATTGGTTTCATTTCTTACCAATCAAATCAGAGTAGGATAATGAGAAATAAAACTTACTCTTAAAACACCTTCTGCCCACCCCTCCCTCCTTCCCAGGCTCATCTTCACTTGCAATTCCGCTTTCTCCTCACCCTTCCGAGCAACACAGGGAATTGGAGAATGAAGGTTGTGGCTGGTCCATCACACTTTGACTTGCAGGGGCACAGCCTGCCTCACCATGTGCTGCAAGGGAATCTCTGCTTCAGCGCCTGGAGCACCTCCTGCCCTCCTTCTGCACTGACCTGGCTGTCTGCAGAGCTGCTTCTCTCACATATTCTCACTCCTCTCTCCTGACAGTTTTTTCCCCCTTCCTAAATGTTATCTCTGAGGCACTGCCACCATTGCTGATGGGTTGGGCCCTGACCAGCAACAGGTCCATCTTGGAGACATCTGGCATTGGGTCTTCTTCCCCAGTAGCACCCCTCACTATTGAAACCTTGCCACACAAACCCAATAGAAACAATTACTTGTGTTATCATTAGTCCTCAGAGTGAACACACCTATTAAGTTGATCCAAAGCTGTTCACAATTCACTCTTTTGCTGAGATTTCATTTTGGGTGATATTTCTGCTGTCAGATGATATTTCTGTGTCTAACAGGAGCCCAAAAGGCTACTCACATCATTCTTTAAAGATCAGTGCATACATGCTTCCGTAACAGACCTATAAAACACCGCCTTCTTCCTTTTTAATAAGGGGAAGAAAAGGCCAAGCTCTACTCAAAGTCTCAAATCACTTCCTGACAGATTGAGGGCCAAGCAGCAGGATTCACCCTCCTCCATTCTTCAGACAAAAAGGAGAAATCATGGCTAAGCACTGACCGGCTGCAAACCCTCTCCTGCTCCCCTGCTGCAGGCTGCTGTGGCCACACACCCAGCCCAAAGGGCAGTGAAGCTTTGCAGGGACATGTGTAACTGATAGAAATAGGTAGCAAATTACCCCCCACTAATGACAGAATGAGGCTCTTCGCACTTATGAGTCACCTGTTTTTTTTTTCATAGCTATTCCTCATGTGTTTATTTCCTTGTATTAGAGGAGTAACAGCATACCGGCTGGCCGGAAAGCTGAGTGCCTCAAAATAGCACTGAGATGGACCTGGCTTGCACAGAGCCTGCTGCTCCTTCAGTTGATCCCCACATCCTTTTCACTTGGTTGCATCTAGGAGCAGAAAAAGCAGTTGCTCCGCATCAAGTTCAATACCTGCGAGGGCACAGCAGGCTGGGGGACAGCAGGAACAGTGCTGCATCTTTCCTCCTTTCAGCTGCTGCTTCCCATAAATGTTTGCCTGAGGAGAAATGAAATACTGCAGCGACCAGCTGGATTTCTCCCACTCCTCCATGGACACAGCCACTAGACAAGCAATTCCATGTGCCCACACAGGGACTGAAGGAGTCTTTATGGAGCCTCTGTGCCACAACTTGGCCCTCTCTGCATCTCTGAAACTCATCTTACCTTGTGCTCAGTCCCAGGACAGCTTTACAGGGATGCAGGATACCTGTAGCACAAGCCCAAGCTGCCTGTGTTGACCTGACCTGAGTCTGTCCTCTCAGCCCCATGGAAAACTCCTTTGATACAGGGATGCTCCTGTGTTAGGACTCCTGGGAGGTTGTCGGCAGCTCCAAGATTCCCATGCACAGGAATTCCTGTGTGCCAGTTTCACTAACTGGGCCCTGGGACAGCAATGGATCATTGTCCTTGTGTGTCAGGGTTTTTTCTATCCAGGAAGGGAAAGACAGGGGCAAGGAAAATGTCCTGACTGGTGGATAATTCCTGCTGCTGTGGCTGAGTCCTTGTTAAGTATTGACTAAGGCAAGCGAGCTGTAGGATTCTAAAAGGATTTTCCATTCAAATCAGAACACAAAAGCCTTATTACCAGTCCCAATGCTGGAAAATCACATCAGGCCCCATCAAAATCATGACAGTGGCTTAAATCATGAGTTTAAAAATAGATGTGTTAGCTTATTATTATCTGCTTTATGGTTTCTGAATCATTAGGTTAAACTGGCATCAAGTTCTTAGTGTGCCTCCAAAGCCAAGAGCTCTGAAACCTCACTCTAAAGCTATTAATAAAACCTTGACTAGTCACATTCCTGTCGAATAGGAACCTTCATTAAATAAACACAACATAAGATCCTTGCTACAACGAGAGCTGCCAACTTTGTCTCCTCAAGGGTCTCAAATCCGTGTTTTATCTGCTCCTTTCTGCAGCAACAAATACAAACGGTGACTAAGCAGCACAAAGGCCAGGCTAACTTTTAGGAGAAAGTAACACTTCCAATTATTTAGTTGCTAGCTGAGAGCCCAAAGATACGGTGATAACTCTGCTATCAACAAACTTCCAAGCTACCATACTGCCTGCATGCTCCTTAGGATCTCTCTTTTTAATGGACCCAATGGTTTGTGACCCAGAGATCCATATACTGAGACTGGATGAGCTGTCTGCAGACCCCAAAGCAGCACAAAGCAATGCCCCGGGTGCTGCCTGGCCACCAGTGGCCAAGCACCCTCCTTTACAGCACTGCTAGCCAGGGCTGGTACAGCAGCACAGCACTCTCTAGCACTGTGTTAAAGCATCAGGTCAGTATTTAATCAGACCAAGGGGCACTTGATTCTGCTCTCCATCACTCGTTATGCTCTTGAGAGATTCTTACATGATTTTCTAACTCACAGTCAGCCCTGCAAACCATTCTTTGCTGCAAGACTCAACAAAAGTCTCAGAGATGCAGCACAACAGCAGGGAGAAGAGGGGGAAGGAGGACAGAAAGAAGGCAAAGGGACACACTGTGGTGGACATCAAGCTGTGACTCTGTTTCCTGCTTGCACAGGTGAGTCTACCTGCAGCATTTCTGGCTGTAAAGCCCATAGGGCTGAATTAGACTCAGCAAGCCTAAGGCTATCTCAACAAAGCAAAACCATGGTGGTGGCAGTGGCAGGCACCCCAAAAGGAATGAGGGAAAGCAGATTTCAGCTTGCTGTCAAACATGCTTCAGTGCAGATAATGCAGTTTTGTCTCTTACAAAGAGAGACAAAACGGTCTGTGTAGCCATGGACATTGCCATCCCTAGACCCACATGCTGCTGTCTTGTATCTGGCCCACTCCTGAAGGACTGGAGCCTTCCAGAGTGAATTGGGATATCAGCCCTTACCTCTTACCAGGCTGTAGTTGGACCACCCTCCCCTTTGGCCACGTTGCCTCCTCACAAGCTGCTTGTATTCCATGCAGTGTCCCTCAGGCAGCAGCCTCCTTGCTCCTGGCAGAACAGCAGTGAGGAAAGATGGATGGGTGGATGCTGGCCTGGTGCTCTCTGCAGCAGTGGTGCAGTCCCCAGCAGATGTCAGGCTCCCACCTTGGTTTTGAGGGGAAATCTCAGGGCTCAGAATGAAGAACCAGGCTCATGGTTAACTCATGCTCACCCAACCCAAGCTGTGGCAATATTAGTGCATCCAGATGCGCGAGGCACTTGATGCTCTTCATACCACCCAACGCTGGTGCTCAGCTGCCCATCTGTTTCTAAACTAGCCCTCTTCGCTATTGAAAATAGAGTCAGAGATGAGGTTAACTTTCATACGTAAGTCCCCTGATCTAAGCTAAACCATGAGCCCTTCCTGGCTACCTGGGGCTCGCACTGGCTGAGATCAAAGATCTGCTACCATGCTTGGTAAATGCTGGTGGTGCAGAGACTTCAACCAGTGCAGACAGCTGGTGCAGCTAAAGGAAGGTCCTGGGGGAGCTTAGGGATACAAGAAGGGCTGAGATGAGCTGCTCCGGGATGCGAGCACTGGAAAATCAGGAATGCTGTGAGCCAGCTGGGGGAGGCTAATAAAGGGGATCTATCTGACAGGCAGACAGCCAGAGGAGGGGAAGAAACAGCTCACTCGAGTCCACGGACCCATATAACTGGGTTATGGAGCTACGTAATCCACTTAAGCTCTCAAACTGTCCTGCCTCCCTTCCTCCCCCAACCTTTACTCTCCTCTCCTGTACCTCTAATATTAAAAAAGGTTTCCTCGAAGCTCGCAGGAAGTCTTGACAGCAGTTCAATTTGATTAGCGCTGGCTGCAGACTTTTCCCAGAGGATCTCGGGAAGCACAGAGACACATACCCCCCAGAAACCTGCAGAGTATTGACAGGTTCATGCAGCCTCTGCAGCACG